AAGGAGAACAGGCTTTGGCCACCGACGGACCTTGGCAGAGAAATGGTGCTGCTTACGTGACTTTTTCACTTAGTGAGCAAACAACTCTGTGCTGGGTGCTGTTGATTCAGAGATGGAGTCCCAGGAACCCCAAATCCTCCTCCTCCCTCGCCCCTCGCCGCCCTGGAACCCAGGGGTCAGCCAAGAGACCAAGGGCACAAGAGGGGCTGGGGAGGGAGGAGGAGCTCCTGGCCATGGAGGGTGCAGCAGGCCATCTCCCTCCAAGGGGACCCTTGCCTGGGGAGCTAGTGCCCACAGGCCTAACTGTCCCTTTCTGAGGGACAGAAGGCGCCAGACGTGCCACTTGGGGGCACCCTGGAGAGGTCCAGGCAGACAGTGACAGAGAGAACTGGAGGCACTCATGCTTGTGAACTCATTGAAGTTCTGGGGCCTCAGCTTCCCCATCTGTAAATGGGGTGCAGGCCCTGGCTCTGCCTCCGCAGTGTCCCTGGCTGCCCTCCAGCACAGGAGGCTGAGACCCCCCTGCACCCCTTCTCAGGGTGGTCGCAGGTCTGCCTGTGGGTCTGCAGAGCAGAGCGTGCAGAGTTGGGGTTGGGGTGGGGCAGGCTTCAGGTTGGGCCAGTCCTGTCCCAGATGTCAGCTCAGTTACCCTTCACAAATATCCCAGGAAAAGAGAGGTGGAACATTGGCCCAGGACAATTGCTTGGCCTCTGCAGTTTGCCCAGATGTGTCCACTGCCAGAGCACACGGGCACAGCACCCAGCAGGCTGCAGGAGGGTAGCTGGGGTGGTGGCCCTGTGCCAGGTATCAAGCCTTCTGTGACCAGCACCTTTCCAGCTGTAGCCGGGAACAGAACTCCCCAGGCCAGGGCCTCACACGTCCCTCGTGACGAGGAGAGAAGGCGGCATCCACTGACCTCAGCGGGCAGAGCGCGCAGGGGCTAGCATGAGGCAGCGAGACCCCCGGGGGCATGCTTTGCAGAAGGCCCACATCGAGGAACAGTCAGAGCCCAGGCACGGACAGGGGTCCCGCGAGAGCGCAGGGAGCCAGGGTCCGGCCCCCGCAGGGGGCGAGGGCGGGGGTCCGGGGCGGGCAGCGGCAGGTCCGCGCGGAGGGCGAGGGCAGCGCGCATCTCGCCTGGTTCCCGGGCCCTGCCGAGAGGCTGGAGGCGAGGGCGTCGCCGGGAGGCGGCGGCACTGGGGCCTTTGGGGGGCGCCTGGTCCCCGCCCGCGCCGGCCGCGCCGGGTCGCGCGTGGGCGCGGCGGGCGCCGATTGGCTGTCGCGCGCGCGGGCGGGGCGGGCGGCGGCGGCGGCGCGGAGGGGCCGGTCACCCCGCAGCCCGGCCTCGGCCTCCGTCGCTCGCCGCCGCGCCCCGCCCGCGCGCCCGCCGCCGCACGTCCCCCGCCGCCGGCGGCCACCATGAGCACCGGCCTGCGGTACAAGAGCAAACTGGCGACCCCAGGTGAGCCCGGCGCCCGCCCGCGCGCCCGCGCGCGCCTTTGTCCCCGCCGCCAGCCCGCCCGCCCGCCTCTCACCGTGTCTCCGTCTCTTCCCCCGCCCGCCGGCTGGACCCGCCCGGACCCGGACCCGGACCCTGACCTGACCCTGACCCCGCAGAGGACAAGCAGGTACGTGCGCGCCGCCGCTCACCCAGCCTGCTGTCACCCATTGTGCCACCAACGCCGCTGGCGCCCAGGCGCGACCCCGCCCCCGCCAGCCGTCATCCCGCCCTGTCGCGATAACAGATTGTCAGCCTGGGCAATGCCGCCGCGCCTGCGGCTGCGGAGGACAGGAGTGGGTGCCATGCCCAGGGTGCCTGGCCCCTGTCCCTCACAGCATGCCCGTGCACCCTTCCCAGGTGCCCCTCTCCCATGGGTCCAGCGCCAGCAGGATCTTGCTGACCTGGCTTTTGACCGTGTGCTGGGGGTCCTGAGTGAGGCCACGGGCTAGGGGAGGGGTCTCTGTCCTCCAGCCAGCACAGAGACCCTGAGCAGCCCCATGAGAGAGCCTGTGGCCACCCTACCCTGCTCTTCTGCATCTTATGCCCCTCTCCCCACACACTAATTTGAGTGAGCTGGTCTGTGGCCAGGCCTCTTTCCCAGACTGGGAGCCTCCAGGGCCTGGCCTGAGTCATCTCCGTACCCAGCACAGGTCTTCAAACCTAGTGGGTACAAATAGGCTTGTGGCCTCCCAAAGGGGTGGCCTGGTCCCCACCCTCCAGGAATGCAGGACCCAACAGGAGGCTGGCCTGGACACCCACTGTGAAAACCCAGCTGACGTCAGCGTTAAACAGAGCTGGAGACCCTGGGAGTGGGGTGGGCATGGGTAACCAGGTGGGCTGGGGGCTCTGGGCAGCCCCGCTGGAGGCATTTCTGGCTGAAGCTCAGCCATGTTTGGGAGAGAAAAGAAGGGCCCAGCAGTGGCTTTGGCAGCCCCGATCGGGGATGGGGCTTCACACACCCACCGGATGGATGCTGGGTAGAACCCTGGAGTCCTGGCCCAAGATGTGGTACTTGGGCCAGGAGCTACCTGGGGGGGAGGGTGGGGGGGGTGGGAGCCAGGAGTCACTGGCTGCTCAGTGCATCTCCTGGCAAGGATGTGTCCCACCCTGGGACAGGTGAGGCTTGTGGGGAGGGGCCCTGTCGACCTTACACTGCCAGCAAGGGGCTCCCTGGGGAGCCGGGCCAGGAGCTGCCTCCCTATTCTAGCAGGTCAGACAATGCCTGAGATGCAGGGACACACGCCACCAGGCTATTGTTTGACGGAGAGAGAGGGAAGGCCTGGGAGAGCAGCTCCCACAGCTTCTCCTGGGCCTGCAGGCTCTTGGGGTCACTGGGCCAGGCAGCTGCTGCCCAGCACCACCCAGAGACCCCTCCTGCCGAGGCATGAGCTCCTTCGAGGAGCCCATCCTTCGAGGTCACCCAGGAGCCAGCCTCACCCTTCCCCTGCCCCTAAGACCAGAGAGAAATGGCTCCGTGCAGGCGGAGGGGGAGCCCCAGGCAGGGCCAGGGAGCCAGGTGTTTGGGGCGGGCTCCCCGTGGGTCTGGGGGGAGCCAGAAGCACGTGGTAGCTTCACTGTTACCATTATTGGTGTTACTGAGCCTCAGCTTATCCACACTCTGTGACAGGGGGTGGGGGAGCTCTGGTGGCGCTCTGTGCCCCCTCCTCCCACGCCCACCCCGTCTCAGGCAGTGATGGGGGCTCTGTCGGCTTTGGCGTCTGCTTTCAGAGCTGACTCTGGTAATTCTAAGAATGGAAATGCCTCGAGAGCCAGGCATTGGGAGGAGGTGGGCGCAGCTGTGTCTAGGGCTCGGGAAGCCCTAAGGAGTATTTGTTGTGTCTCAGTGGCCATAGAAAGGGGGTGGCAGGGCCCCTTCCTTGGGGCTCCCCTAGGGAATCCACAGGTCCTATCTGGGCGCGGTCTGGTTGTGGGGCGGGCAGGGTGGGAGCTGGGAGTGGGATTCTTGCCCTCCCGACCTGGGCTCCCCAGACGCTGTGCCTCACCGGCGGGGAACGGAAGCGGGCTGGGAGAGCTGAGGCTCCTTCTCAGCCTGATGCCAGGCCCAGGTCTGTCTGTCTGCCTGAAGATGCCCTGGGCCTGAGCTGCCAGCCTGTCTGGGCGGTGCTGGGCTGAGGACCATGTCTCAAGTGCACCCACGAGTGAAGTTGAGTGGGACTCAGCCTGAGGTCAGCATGGCAGAGGGCTGGGGACCAGTGAGGGGGCTTTCTCGGAGCAAGGCCGGGGGACAGGCTGGGAGAGCAGGGGGCCCTGTGGCCTCCCCCTGCTCTCTACACCCTCCTCTGGATGAAAGACTCTCCTGTTCCCAGCTGTGGGCCCACCCCTTCTCCCCAGGTGCCAGCGGTCTCAAGGCCCCACAGCAACAGCATAAGCCTGGACGGGGGGACAGAGGCCCCTTAACCAGGGAAGCCAAGAAGGGAGGGTCTGGGTGGGGGAGAGCTGGGGGGCTGCCTGTCCCTGCTGACACACACAGTCCAGGGGCGCGTCTCTTCATACCCCAGCTCTTTCCAGGCCTCCCTCCTGTCGGGCTGGCGCTGGCTTGTTCAGATTCCGGCGGGGTACTGGATGAGGGGGTGAGGAAGGGTTTGGCAGCTCAGGAGACCCTGGTTGTCCCTGGAGTGGCCACATGGGAGTGAGGGGTAAGCTGGCTGGAGCTTTCCAGTCCCAGTGCACCCAGTCCTGTGGGTCAGAACAGACAGGGAAGCTCAGAGGAAACTGTCTGCTGGGGAGGGAGGGGTCCCGGCTGGCAGGGGTGGTCTGGGAGCAGCCATGGCCAGCAGGGATGGTGGCGGGTCGTAGAGCTGCACAGTAGGGCAGCACCCAAGTTTCCAGAGGTAGAGGAGCTAGCGTCTAGTACTCTGACTTCCCCCTCTAAGCCTCCGAGGACATGGGGGGTGGGGGGAGTGCAGGCTAAGGAGGCTCAGCCCTCGCCCCCTCCCACATGTCTTGGGGGATCCTCCAAACATACACACACACACACACACACACACACACACACACACACACGAGGGGAGAGGGGCAGTGCAGGCAGGGATGTGTCCGTGGCTGGTTGGAGGCGCTGGGACACCGCTGGGAGGTTTTCGGGCTGCATCTGCGAGCAGAGAAGGACTGGACCCGGCCGGTCCCTCGTGGGTGCGCGCGCGGGTCTGCGGAGCGCCCTCTGGCGGGCGGAAGCCGTACCGCACCTCTGGGGGCGGGAGGCGCGGCGGCCGCAGACCCCGGGCCCGCGCGTGGCACCCGGCTCCCAGCCCCGGTTGCCCGAGGCCTGGACTGAGGCCGCGGCCCCGTCGCAGCGCCGCGGCCCCCGCGCCCCGCGCCCCGCGCCCCGCGCGGCCCTCCCCGCAGCCCTGCGTGGCTCCGCCCGCGGCCCACTTTCCCGGCGCCGGTCTCCCGGCGACAGCGCCGGCGGGCGGTCCCTGCCCCTCCCGCGCGCCCGCCGCGCCCCGCCTCTATTGGAGCGAGAGCCGGGCCTGCGAGGCTGCGCCGGCGCGGGCCGCACGGGCGGGAGGGGTCTCGCATGGCCTCCGCGCGCGGCGGCACCCGGGCGCGGCGTCCCCGCTCCGGGCCTCTGTTCCTGCGTCCGTGAAGCCCGGGCGAGAACAGGGCTTCAAGGTGGTGCCGCGCGTACGTCCCTCGAGAACGCCCGGCCCGGTCCGGGGTCCTGACGCGGCCAGCGGGGTGGCAGGGGCCGCTGCGATGGACTCGCTGGCAGCGCCCCAGGACCGCCTGGTGGAGCAGCTGCTGTCACCGCGGACCCAGGCCCAGCGGCGGCTCAAGGTGTGTGGAGCGGGGAGCGAATGCGGGACCGCGTGCGCGCCGCCGGGGCCGGGCCCTCAGGGGCCTCCGCCACTATCTCCGGACGGGACAGGGGCAGCAGGGCCACGGCCGCTCGGGTGGGCGCAGGGACCCCGCGAGCGGGATGGCTCGGCGCCGCTGTCTATAAATAGCCCCTGCTCCGCCGTCGCTGCAGCCAGCCACCCCCGCGGCTGGATCGCGGCCAGACGGGGCCTCCCACCCGGGTACACTGGCGGGGGAGTGAGCGCGCTGGGCAGGGGCGAGTATTGAGGCCGGGGGCTCCTCCTGCCTGTGGAGGGCCTTGGGCCTGTCTGAGGTGTCAGTCATGGTGGTCTCTGACCACCACCCAAGGGAGGACACTGCCTGTGCCTGCTGCGGCCTGACACCCCTCTCTACACACACAGACACATTCTCGGGTCCCTGTGAAGCCCCTCTCTGCCGCTGGCACAAGGGAGCCTTCAGCTGCCACTCACCTTCCCACCCCCAGGCCTTTGCCCACAGTCCATCACTCCATTTCTGCCACTGAAACACCCCGCCCTGGGAACTCCGCCCTCTCTGCTGCCTCCTTGACTGAGCTGGGCAGGGGACAGGGCAGGGGGCAGCCCCAGGAGCCCCAGCATGCCCCTGACCTGCCCTGCTCCTGCCCCTGCCTCCAGGACGTCGACAAGCAGTACGTGGGCTTTGCCACGCTGCCCAACCAGGTGCACCGCAAGTCGGTGAAGAAGGGCTTTGACTTCACGCTCATGGTGGCCGGTGAGTGGGCCTGGCTCCCAGGAGGGGCGGGCCAGTGGCCAGCCAGGCTCTTCATGGCACCTTGGACTGACTCAACTCCTTCACTGTACCTGTGGGCAGGTGAGTCGGGCCTGGGGAAATCCACACTGGTCCACAGCCTCTTCCTGACCGACTTGTACAAGGACCGGAAGCTGCTCAGTGCCGAGGGTGAGTGGGCCCCACACTGCCTTCGCACTGCTTCACCCTCCCCTGCTGTGTGACCCCTCCGAGGCACCCTTCCAGGGCCAGCCCTGCTTCTCTCTCCCCACAGCGTGGGTCTCCTGTTCAGGGTCTAGGAGGAGTGTCCCAGACCACAGGCCCGGTGGTCAGGGCCAAAACACTAGGATGGATGAGAAGGAGGGTCTTGGCTGCCCAGAGTAGGGGGTGAGGGTCACAGAGGCCCCTCCAGACAGTCCCCCACCCCCACAGAGCGCATCAACCAGACAGTGGAGATCCTGAAGCACACGGTGGACATTGAGGAGAAGGGGGTCAAGCTGAAGCTCACCATTGTGGACACACCAGGCTTCGGGGATGCTGTCAACAACTCTGAGTGGTAAGGAAGGCCTGGCTGGGGATGGTCCCTGCCCAGGCTGACTCAGCCTCCTCCAGGCTGGCGGGCCGTCCTCGCAGCTGGTCTTATGCGCTCCCCTGCCCACAGCTGGAAGCCCATCACAGACTATGTGGACCAGCAGTTTGAGCAGTATTTCCGTGACGAGAGTGGCCTCAACCGCAAGAACATTCAAGACAACCGGGTGCACTGCTGCCTGTACTTCATTTCCCCTTTTGGGCACGGGTGCGTGGCTGTCCTCGGGCCGGGCTGGGGAGGCACCCACCTCCATGGATCTCCATGTCATTGCCCCTCCCCTGTCTGCATCCCCACAACCATTCCCCCCCTTAGCCCACCCCCACCCTCTCCCTGCACTACGGCAGCCCCCACCACGCCCGTCACCGCCCCGGCTGCTCTCTGCAGGCTTCGGCCAGTGGATGTGAGTTTCATGAAGGCTCTCCATGAGAAGGTGAACATAGTGCCCCTCATCGCCAAAGCTGACTGTCTTGTCCCCGGCGAGATTCGGAAGCTGAAGGAGCGGGTGAGCCTGCTGTGGCAGTGGGGCCTGGCCCAGGGCTCTGGGTCTGCGAGCACCAGCTATGGTGACCCCAGGCATCACTGTACCTGGCTCAGGGGACCTGGCCAGCCCCAAATCTGACAGCCCTTGCCCCGCCGCAGATCCGGGAGGAGATTGACAAGTTCGGGATCCACGTGTACCAGTTCCCTGAGTGTGACTCGGATGAGGACGAGGACTTCAAGCAGCAGGATCGGGAACTGAAGGTGAGCATGCAGCCCAGTGGGGCAGGGGAGGGAGCCAGAGGCCAGTTCACGCAGGGCCCGGAGGAGGGCCAAGCCCCCAGGTCCAACCTGGTAGGGGCAGGGCTCTCTTGTCCAGCCAGTAGAGGCCCTTCACCTAGGGCTAGAAGGCTAAGATCACATGTGTCCCCAGCTGCCTTGTGTAGTTTGGGCCCCAAATGGTTAGTGGGTAATGGAGCACTTGCTGGGACCCAAAGGCACTGCTGCTGGCCAGGCCCCCACCCTGACCCTGCTTCTCAGTGTTCTTCACCAGCAGAAGGGCCCAGCCCAACGGCCACAGGCCTGTACATGCCCTGGCTCCCAGAATTCTGAGCTCCAGAGGATGGTGGTGGCTTTGGGTGTCCCAGCAGCTACAGTGGTGATGACTAAGCTCAAGCCAGGGGACAGGTAGCCATCAGGCCAGGAGCAGGGTTGGCCTTTGGCCCCAACCAAACTCAGCAGGGGCATCACTAGCCAGAGGCTTGGGCTCAGCTCTGGGGAGGGAAGGGAGAGGTAGCCAGATGGAGCAGCCTTGAGGTGGGTATTGGGAGGGGAGAGCATGCCTGGTTGGGCACAGCCTGGCAAAGGCCGCAGAGTGTGAGCTGCACCAGCTCCGGCTTCAGCTGGCAGCAGAGTGGCTAGAAGCAGGGGCAACGTCGGGATCTCTTTGGGGAGAGGTTGTTGATGGTGATGCTGAAGGGCCCCACCAGGCTCAGGCCCCTCTCCAGCCACTAACTCACTTTCATACTTACTGGGCATGAGCCCTCACCTGCCCCTTCCCAGGAGAGTGCGCCCTTCGCTGTTATCGGCAGCAACACGGTGGTGGAGGCCAAGGGGCAGCGGGTCCGGGGGCGACTGTACCCCTGGGGGATCGTGGAGGGTGAGTTCGGGCAGGGGGCACAGGGTCCAGGGTGGGCAGGCTCCCCTGGCTGGCGCCAGCTGACCACTCACCCCTGCCCTGCAGTAGAGAACCAGGCACACTGCGACTTCGTGAAGCTGCGCAACATGCTCATTCGCACACACATGCATGACCTCAAGGACGTGACGTGCGACGTGCACTACGAGAACTACCGTGCGCACTGCATCCAGCAGATGACCAGGTGCGCTCCCGCCCTGGACCTGAACCATGTACCTTGTGGCCCCAGCCACGTCTCCGTAACGGAGGGCTGGTCCCCACCACCCACCTAGACCCGAACCTTGCCCCAGCCCCCAAATCAGCTGCCCAGTGCCTTGTCTCCCCAGAGCCAGCCCAGAGGTGTGGGAGCACAGGAGGGCAGGGCTTGGTAGTACCTGGGGTCAGCTGGACCTCCCATCAGTGCTGTCCCTCTCATCCACCCCACAGCAAACTCACCCAGGACAGCCGCATGGAGAGCCCCATCCCCATCCTGCCACTGCCCACGCCTGACGCTGAGACAGAGAAGCTCATTAGGATGAAGGATGAGGAGGTTGGTGAGGTGGCAGGGGAGGAACGGGCTGGCAGGGAGAAGGGCCAGGCCTCTCCCATCGAGTTTCTCCCCCTACCAGCTGAGGCGCATGCAGGAGATGCTGCAGAAGATGAAGCAGCAAATGCAGGACCAGTGACCCCCCAGCCTCACATTGCCATGGATATACTGCCAGTCTCCAGGCTGGCCCTTCCCACCCCTGGATCCCTACTGGTCTGTACTCTACCCTGGATTCATCTGGATTTCTGACAGGCCTGGACACAACCCCAATCCCAGAGTGGCCCAGACCCGAACTGTTCCCTGCCGTTCCAGACCTGACCCGGAGACGCGGGGTTGCACCCCCCAGCCAACCCTAATTTATTCTCAGCATCAATCCCTCCTCTTATTTGTATTTGCCCCTACAACCAGTTCCTTCTGGCCTTGAGGGACCAGGAGCTTCGTTGGGCCGTGACTTCTGAGATCTGCCCCCACCCCAGAAGATCCTAGCACTCAGACTCCAGGCCCTACTCGGGGCGGGTAAACCAAGGCAGAATAGGGGCGCAGGTCCCCAGGGTCTTGGGCCTGTCCCCCCGTGCGAGTGCTGCAGAGCAGACCTGGGAGCCCTCCTGCGCCCACTGCCACAGTGTATGCTGGGACCGCGCTTTGTGCCAAGGTGGGCCAGGTTCTCCCTCATCTCACCTGCAGCTCAGCAGGTGGGTTGGGCAGCAGAAGCAATTAGGATCCCTCCAGACCTGAGGAGGCCAGCCAGCTGCAGGGGGAGGAGCTCCGGGAGCGGGGCCATCTGTGACAGCCGGCGGGCCCCCCACTAAGGGGCCCCAGGGCTCCAGGAGCAGTGGGAGGTGGGTGACCCCCTGGCAACTCCCATGCCTAGACTGCCGTTCCCTGCCCATGGCTGGAGGTCCCTTCTCCCCAGCAGCACTGTCGCCCAGGGTTCCCTAGCCTTTGCCCTCCCCATCCCGCCACCCGCATGATCCCTCTCCACAAACCCTCTTCTCCAGTTTTGTTCAGTTGTGAATGCCGGGTCCTGTCCAGGTGACAGGAGAACAATGTTGGTGACCGTCGCATCAGGCTTTGAGTGCTCTGTGCGCCCCTGGGAGCAGTGGGGGCGGAAGCCGGGCAGCTGGCAGCCCGGTGATAGCGCTCTATCTGGGGCCGCAGCGCCTGTCCGCGCGTCCTCGGGGTTATTTCTGGCGGGGCGGCTGCGCTGCGGTCGGCGTGGCTGGCGCCGGGGCCTGGCAGGGGTGGGCGGCCTTATCGCCTGGTTCTCTGGCCAACGCCTGGCGCTCCAGAGCCAGCCGGGTCACTATCCTCTCGCCATGAGCTCCGGTGAGTCTAGGGTCCAGCCAAGCCCCTGCCGCTCCCTAAGCACAATCGCGTTGGGAGGGGCGCCAGTCGTTTGCCTGCAGCAGGGAGAGATTTGGGTCGGACTTAGAGGAGACTTCCACCCAGTGCGCAGGTGGTGCGGTTGGAGAGCCTTTCGGGCAATGGGGGTCGCGGGCCTGGCCTGGCGCTCCGGAGGCTCAGAGATGCCGCCCAGGTGCCCCACAGGCCGCCCAGCTCAACGCGCGCTTCCCTTCCAGGACCGCGCAGGGCGCTGAGCCTGCTGCTCCTGCTGCTCGCGCCACGGAGCTGCGCGGCCACACGCTGCCCCGCTCCTTGTGTCTGCGCGGGGACGCTCGTGGACTGCGGGCGCCGCGGGTTGACGTGGGCCTCGCTGCCGACCGCCTTCCCATCAGACACGACCGATCTGGTGCTGACCGGCAACAACCTGACGGCGCTGCCGCCGGGGCTGCTGGATGCGCTGCCTGAGCTGCGCGCCGCGCACCTGGGCGCTAACCCCTGGCGCTGCGACTGCCACCTGGTGCCGCTGCGCGCCTGGCTCGCCGGCCAGCCCGAGCGCTCGCCCTACCGGGACCTGCGCTGCGCCGCGCCCCCCGCGCTGCGCGGCCGCCTGCTGCCCTACCTGACCGAGGACGAACTGCGCGCCGCCTGCACGCCCAGCGCGCTCTGCTGGGGGGCGCTGGCGGCGCAGCTCCTGCTGCTCGGCCTCGGGCTGCTGCACGCCTTGCTGCTGCTGCTGCTGCTGTGCCGCCTGCAGAGGCTGCGCGCCCGCGCCCGCGCCCGCACCCGCGCCGCGCACCGGCTGTCGCTGACCGCCCCGCTGGTGGCGGAGCCGGCTGGAGCCGGCGAGTCCTGAGAGCCGAGCGACGCGGAGCCAACCCGACAGGACCCAGTCCCGGGAGTCCTCGCCCTAACCTTGACCCATGCCCCTCCGCCGCCCAGGCACAATCTCCCAGACCACGCCGCCCCCGGCAGGCCCTTCCACATGGGCTCTGCTCCTTCCCGCCACCACTAGCGAGGCGAAGCCAATCCCTGCACGTTAGGCAGGTCCAGGCGGTGAGCTGCAGCCCGGACCCCGCCCGGGTCCCCCGGGCCAAAGTCCAGTGCGAATAAATCCTGCTCCAAATCCGACCTGGCTCTGCGGCGCGCCACGTGGAAATCTACCTCCCCAAACCGCGGGAAAACCCCTGGGAGGGGTTCAAGGGGACACCCCACAGCTACATGCCCGAAAATAGCCTCCAGGCAAACACAAGGTCCCTGAGTAAACTCTCCCCTCCACTGATGATCACAGAGGGTCACCTGGGAAGGCAGGGAGCAGTGGATGAGAGTGGGCACACAGAAGGGGGCAGTGAGGACTCTGTGGGCAGTGACGACACTGTGGGCCATGAGGACTCTGTCGGCCCTGAGGGACTCTGTCGGCCCTGAGGACTCCGTGGGCCGTGAGCACTCCGTGGGCAGTGAGGACTCCGTGGGCCGTGAGGACTCTGTGGGCCGTGAGCACTCCGTGGGCAGTGAGGACTCCATGGGCAGTGAGGACTCCGTGGGCCGTGAGCACTCCGTGGGCAGTGAGGACTCTGTGGGCCATGAGCACTGTGTGGGCCGTGAGCACTCTGTGGGCCGTGAGGACTCTGTGGACAGTGAGGACTCTGTGGGCCGTGAGGACTCTGTGGGGAGTGAGCACTCTGTGAGCCGTGAGGACTCTGTGGGCAGTGAGGACTCCGTGGGTAGTGAGCACTCTGTGAGCCATGAGGACTCTGTGGGCAGTGAGCACTCTGTGGGCCATGAGCACTCTGTGGGCCGTGAGGACTCTGTGGACAGTGAGGACTCTGTGGGCCGTGAGGACTCTGTGGGGAGTGAGCACTCTGTGAGCCATGAGGACTCTGTGGGCAGTGAGGACTCCGTGGGTAGTGAGCACTCTGTGGGCCGTGAGGACTCTGTGGGGAGTGAGCACTCTGTGAGCCGTGAGGACTCTGTGGGCCGTGAGGACTCCGTGGGTAGTGAGCACTCTGTGAGCCAAGAGGACTCTGTGGGCTGTGAGGACTCTGTGGGCCGTGAGGACTCTGTGGACAGTGAGCACTCTGTGGGCCGTGAGGACTCTGTGGGCCGTGAGGACTCCGTGGGTAGTGAGCACTCTGTGAGCCAAGAGGACTCTGTGGGCTGTGAGGACTCTGTGGGCCGTGAGGACTCCGTGGGTAGTGAGCACTCTGTGGGCCGTGAGGACTCTGTGGACAGTGAGGACTCTGTGGGCCGTGAGGACTCTGTGGACAGTGAGCACTCTGTGGGCCGTGAGGACTCTGTGGACAGTGAGGACTCTGTGAGCTGTGAGCACTCTGTGGGCCGTGAGCACTCTGTGGGTAGTGAGCACTCTGTGAGCCATGAGGACTCTGTGGGCAGTGAGCACTCTGTGGGCCGTGAGGACTCTGTGGGCAGTCAGGACACTGTGGGCAGTGAGGACAGTGAGGGGCAGTGAAGTGAGCATTTCCAGGGGACAGTGAGGGGCCGTGAGGTGGCCTGAGGACAGTTCAGGGTGTGAGGTTTCCCCAGTGGCAGTGACCATGCCATGGGGCCAGCTTTCGGGGCAATTAGCGATGGATTGGGGACAGTGAAGACAGTCTGGCGGCCTGCCTGCGACTCCCTGGGCACCCGAGTGAGGAGCTCAGCCTCTGGGGGCCGGGGTCACTGGGCCCAAGGCTTGCCAGGTGGGTCTGTGGCTGTCACTGCAGGGCTGAGGGGCACCGGGTATGGCAGGGTCTCGAATCACGTGCTCCACCTGACCATGCTTCCTGCAGGAAGGTACCTCTGACCACCCAGACCGGCCAGGGGCTTCTCAGGGCCCTCAGGTCCTGGTCCCCCGTCCCAGCCCTAAACCCGAGCAACCAGGGCCTGGGGCTCCTCCATGGGTGCCTGAGCCTGGCGCAGGTTGCCAACAGTGTCCTAGGGTGCCCAGATGACACAGTGACACTTTCCTCACCATCAGGGTCCCACTCCTGCCCTAGGTGTGGTCCCCACTTGGCTGGCCCTGTGAATAGTGAAGGCTACTCTCCACAGACCGCAAACAGGACACCGATGAGCAGCCTCAGGCCTGGGCCCCAGCCGCCTGGCACAGGAAGACCCCTGGCCCCACTGACCGGGTCGGGGAGGCTGCCGTTGACACGGCCTTTGTCCTGGCCTTTGTGGGACAAGACGGATGACCCTCCGGTCGGGCTGATGCTATCTCCAGGCTGCCGGTCGGACGTGAGACAGGAGCCACCCCCTCCTTTGTGGGCAGGTGCATGGCATCCGGCCCATTGTGGGCTGTGACCGACGGTCGAGCCGTCCATCCGGCCTTATCACCACACTGGGGATGGGGGCCGTCTTTGTACAAATGAACTGCCACCTTGCCCTCCCCACAGGGAGCCCAGCACCCCCAGAGCCCCTGGTGGGGTTGTCAGAGGAACAGTCATTGTCACAGCGAGGTACACAAGCCAGCCCCCAAACTCAGTCCCAACGCGGCACAGGGTGGGGCGTCCCCCTACTTTCAGAGGAGGAAACCAGATCTGAGAGCGGGGCTCCCTGCTGGGCCCCAGAGCCTCCACGGCTGACCCGGGCAGAGCCGAGACCAGGCCCCCAGACACTTCTCCTCCTCACGGAGGCCTTCAGGGAACAAATTCAGGGCCCAGGAGAAAGTAGTCTGGGGGTCCTAGGTGACCCCAAGCTAACAGAAGTGGCCCTCCTGTGGGACAAGGCCCCAGCAGGAGCTGTGGGGAGTGGTCAGCGGGAGTGCAGGCACACTGCACACTGCCCACAGGCTTCAGGATTCCCAGGCCAGTCTGGCTGAGAGGGTGGGCACGGCCCTGAGGAGCAGGAGCCGCGGGAGCAGTGCGCGGAAGAAAGAGGCTGGCACCGCGGTGTGGGCAGAACTAGGGAAGAACTTCCTGCTAGCTGGCGAGTGGGACAACTGCACCCCATGGTTCTCTGGGGCCCCCCACCAGTTGTCCACTGTTTAGACTGGCTCCTGCCAAGGTACCGGCCGCGGTGGGGCGCCGACCTGGCCTCGCTGGCTGACCTGCTCCAGGCTGCCTGGGAGCGCCTAATCCCAACTCCTGACCCTGAGCTGACCCTCCACAAGCTGGCCAGGGCCTCAGCCTCCAAGGAGTGTGGAGAAGTGGACGGTCCCAGCTCAGTGCCCCTGAATGGCCCTGTGCCCAGAGGGGGACTATGCACCCCTCCCCCAGCTCAGGGGCCTACTGTGCCCCTCCCCCAGCAGTGTCCTCCATCTCGTGGACAACACACCTGCCGCAGGGCCCCTTCCCCACTGACAGGCTGGTTCCCACTGTGGCCTCAAACTCCTTCCAGATAGGAACAGGTCGGGGTCCACTCAAGGCCCTGCTGAGCCCCCACACCTCCAGCCCCCAGGCTGGCTGGTTCAGGGCTCCACGCCCTACAGCCCAAGGTCCTCTGACCACACTGCTGCCCACCCAGCCTCTCTGGGCTCCCGGGATCCTTGGCCTTCAATCAGGCCCAAGCCATGGTGCCCCCTCCCCGACAGCGCCAGGCCCTCCACACCCTTGCCACGCCAGTCCCAAGGCGCGGCATGCCCTTCCTCCTGGGACTCTGTCCTCACTACACAAGGCCCACTCAAGCATGTCCTCTGCAGAGCGCTTCCAGCCCTGCCCTGGACCAGTACATGGCTCAGGACACTGCCTCCATGCTGGGCCCCTGAAGTCGGGCCAGGCTCAAGCCACATCCAGGGCCTGGGTGCAGCCACCTGGAGAACGAGTGACCCACCAAGGGGTTGCATAGAGTGAGCCCTGCAGCGCCAGATGGCATTCCCGGGGCAGACACAGTCGTGACCTCCCGCCGAGCCCCTCATCCTGCCTGTGAAATGGGCGCCGCCCGCGCTGCCCACCTCCCGCCCCGACGCCCGGTCCAGTGCCCCCTCACAGGCACCAGGGGGCGCGCGCGGGCTGCGGGAAACGCCTTGGTGGGCCAGGGCCGCCAGAGCGGGCGCCGGGGGTGCAAACACCCGGCCGGCGGAGAAACAGAGGCCGGGAGAGGGGGACTTGCCCAGGCTGGCGGGGGTGGACCGCCGACAGGGGCGGGCCGGTCGCACCCCCGTGGGGGAGGGGAGGGGTGCGCCGAGCGGCGCTGACAGACGGGGAGTGGTGAGCGCGCCCCTCCATCCGCCTCCCTTTCCCCGCGGGCTCCCTGACAGCCTGTCAACCGGGAAGATAAGGGACCTCTTCCGCCGGCGGAGGGGGCGGTCAGCCCAGGTGCGCCCTCGGCCCTCCCGCCGCCTGTTTGCTCCGTAAACACTTATTGAGCCCCTGCTGTGTGCGCGGCCGGGCAGGGCCAGCAGCTGCCAGGCGGGCGTGGAGGACGACAGGGAGAGGTTGGCCTCAGCCACTTCTGCCCGGGATGCCGGCTGGGGGGCCCTGGAACAGGCTTCTCCGGGGGAGTGGAAGAGAGGTTCCCTTACCTCCCCACCAACGTAGGAGTGGGGGTTGTGTGCAGGTCCTGGGTGGGCCCCCTCCAGCCTGGGGACTTAAGTGGGGCTTGTCCTCTCGGCCTTGGGAGGATCTGGGGAGCTGAAGCCCTGGCCACGTTGGGGGGTGGGCGCACCCGCCGCCCAGACAGAGCAACAACATTGGGGTGGGTGGCGAGGCCCTGGGGGCCCATAGCTCACTGCACCGTCTGTGCCCACCCCCAGTGTTTCCGATGGAAGACAGGCAGCGGGTGATAAATCACCAGCCCCCACCCCCACCCACCCAGGCGGCTGTGGGGAAGGGGGTCTGCATATGACAGAGACAGAGACTGACCTAGAGACAGAGAGACAACCACAGAGACAATGGCAGCTATGGCTGGCCGGCTGACACCAGCCAGGTCCCTTGGCACAGGGTGTCTGGCCTCCTGCCCCCAGGCGCGCCCCCCCCAAACCAGGCCCATCTGGAAACCAGCTGAGAGTCACCCAACCCCAGCCCACCCCAACAGGGAGGAGGAGGAGGGAGGGAGCAGGCCTCAGCAGCCACTACTCCCAGACTCCCGCCCCCAGGACCATAAATCAGCAGGGGGCTCTCTGCAAGCCCTCCCCCAGCCCCTCCCCGTGAGGGGGGGGGGTCTTTGGGGTCACTGGTCCTGGTGACTGGGCCT